CCACCCGGAGTGGAAATGGTGCAACAAGGACAGAAGGAAGTCTTCAAGTAGCCGTGATCCCACGGGCTCTATGCCACAGGTAACTTTATGAAGGACTATCTATTATAATAAGTGTCATTATGCTGTTCAATTCTTATACTTTCGTAATCCGCAATGGGTCGCCTTTTTGATTTAAAAATGGATAAGTGTGTATGCATAACTAACTATAGACACTACGACCGAAATTCGGCGGCTAAATTTCCCACAATTTGTTATGAAATGATACACAATGAACGCTGAATTTACGTTCAAATGACTCCAGATCGAAATTTAGCTATGTAATTTCGGCGGCGGAATTTCAGCTTCGGAATTTTGGATTCTGTGAAGCAAATATCATTGCTGACGTATTTGCGCCGAATACCGTTGCGTATTCGTATGGCGGTTATGAACTTTTTAACGTTACAGAGTCCGCGAACACCGTGTGAGACGGGACAAAGCGGCGGCGTTCCCACGAGCGAAGCGCCCGCCCCCGCGCCCGCGCAGACGTACCAGCCACCCGCCTCGCCGCACATCAGCGACGACGAACAGATGGTGAGATGATACCCCCAAGTACCGTTACAGAGTCCGCGAACACCGTGTGAGACGGGGCAAGGCGGCGGCGTACCGACAAGCGAAGCGCCCGCCCCCGCGCCCGCACAGACGTACCAGCCGCCCGCCTCGCCGCACATCAGCGACGACGAACAGATGGTGAGATGATACCCCCAAGTACCGTTACAGAGTCCGCGAACACCGTGTGAGACGGGGCAAGGCGGCGGCGTACCGACAAGCGAAGCGCCCGCCCCCGCGCCCGCGCAGACGTACCAGCCGCCCGCCTCGCCGCACATCAGCGACGACGAACAGATGGTGAGATGATACCCCTATATCTTGAAAAAAGTCTTCTACATATATCTGCGCTGCGCGGTTGTCCGAACAGACCAGTTAGCGTGTGAAGTTCACTTTACTCTAAGCGGTGCAGATGACGTGAGTGAACTTCGCACGAGTCCTCGCATTGCGGATACGCGCGGACAATACGCGTCACGTAGCGGACGGCCTAAAAGTGAACCACTGATTTGATAATTTTGTTTAGAAAACATCTATATGAAATGGGTCAATTATTAAGCAGTTTTATTTTGGAAAACGTTTAAATGAAATATTACATCGATCAGCGACTCTGTTTCGCATGGAACAATCTTAGCGCGAGTTACCTGTTGACAGGCTCACCCACATATCTCACTATTTCCATGCATTGTGCGAGTATATAACCCCTGCACAACTTTGCAGGTGATATCTCAGCGCGTGAACGAGCAGCCGGCGGCGCCGCACCAGGCCGAGCCGGACCTCAAGTGCGGCGAGCGCGTGATCGACTCCGACTCGGACAACGTCGAGTACGTGTCGCATCACGACCACACGCGCCGCCCCAAGCCCATCAAAGCCAGGTATGTAGCACTGCACTACCACTGCAGGTGATATGTGAACGAGCAGCCGGCGGCGCCGCACCAGGCCGAGCCGGACCTCAAGTGCGGCGAGCGCGTGATCGACTCCGACTCGGACAACGTCGAGTACGTGTCGCATCACGACCACACGCGCCGCCCCAAGCCCATCAAAGCCAGGTATGTAGCACTGCACTACCACTGCAGGTGATATGTGAACGAGCAGCCGGCGGCGCCGCACCAGGCCGAGCCGGACCTCAAGTGCGGCGAGCGCGTGATCGACTCCGACTCGGACAACGTCGAGTACGTGTCGCATCACGACCACACGCGCCGCCCCAAGCCCATCAAAGCCAGGTATTTAGCAATGCATTACACACACTTCATTCCCATCCCAAAAAAAAAAAAACTTCATTCCCTTTTAAAAACTTGGAGCTCTTTTGCTACATAACTTTGTGTTCTAACTCTAACAAAACATATTGCGTCCACTCCAACTGATTTGGGATAAGGGCAGAAAGATGATGATGATGATTTTGCAATACGTTTTGTAATTTTGCTACACTGAGATTGTACCACTTTTTGCAACAAATTCTTAACAGTATTAGTGCATCGTTTTCAGTTCGATAGTAATCATTTATTCTCACCAGACACCCATGTTTCAAATTTACGAACCCTGCCATAGAATGCTATAGGTATTAAATATACTCAAGAGTATTCTGGATAGCTTGAATGAGGAAATAACAATGTTACTGCATTTCTTTCTAAATGCCCTCATCATCTGCCTGCCCTTATCCAAATCTATTTGAATCAACCTAAATATTTATGTAATCCGTTTTATTAGGGCGGGATCTTCCGACAACCTGCTAGGCGGTATCACGGCTTCCAGTCCCGGCGGTTCCAAGGTGTTCCAACCGACCGGTGGCGCATTCAAGTCCACGCATGCTGACCCAGGTAAATAAAAGATTCACTTGCTTTACATACGTATTGTTTACGTACTTCATCTTAGCCGCTTATCGCATATTCAGAGTTAATATTAAATTGTAGTAATTGTTTTATCAGTTATTAAAATATAAATACATGTATATGAGAGCGACGGCTCAGTAGTTGTTGCTTGCTTTATAATGTTATTTGTAGTCGTGTTGACACAGACGTGTGAGGCCAATGAGTCGTTTTCTAACTCGCACCTTTTAATCAGCAGGCCAATGGACTTACACGACGATAACGAAAACGAGCTTACCGAACCAGATCCCGACGTCGCCGCGCTACTCGCAGAGTCTCTCTACCAGTACTCAGAACTTGACAAATAGCGTGCAAGGGATCTCCCTCAACACGCCCAACCTGAGCACTCAGGCCGCCCTGGACAACGCCATTGCGTCCATAATGAACTCGCCCACCGGCCCGGGAGGAGTGCAAGTCATCTCCAGCGGGATTGCTGTGCAGCAACAGCATCAACAACAACAACAGCACCAGCAGCAGCAACAGCACCAACAGCAGCAACAACAACAGCAACAGCAGCAACAATTGCTGAAGAGCGTCACAGTTGTCAAGAGGAACATTGGTGATAGTAACACTGGTGAGTTTCGGTCTATCCGCTCTTTTGGGAAAAGCCCCGTTCCAATGTTAGGAGGTGGTTACAATAGAGCATCAAGTTCTCGCATATGTGGCTACTGGTGCAAGTAGTTTTTCATATGGATGCTATTTAATTGGATTCTGTTATACGGGGTGTTAGGGACGGTGTAACGAAAACTTTGCAGGCGTGCTCAGACCATGAAACTGAACAACTTTTACTATGGAGCCAATAGTGGGAAACGAAAAAAATTTCCCGACCTCCCATACAAAGTCAGTCAGCTGATCGTGAATTTTGTATGGGAGATCGAAAAATTTTTTTTTCCCCTAATTGGCTCCATAGTAAAAGTTGTTCAGTTTGATGGTCTGAGCACGCCTGCAAAGTTTTCGTTACACCGTCCCTAACACCCCGTATAGTTTTGCAGTATTTTCTATATGTTGATTGATTGTGATCTCCGCAGGTCCACTGACACTATCCCTGGACGCGTCAGGCAACCTGCTGATCAAGGCGAGCCAAGCGAGCGAGCTGTCAAACGCGGATCAGCAGGCCGTGCACTATGTGCAACTGAACAAACTCTTCCTACCATATCCGGGTTAGTACTTTTTAAATAGGCGCAGCGCATCCACACTGAGCGAGGTTGCTCGCTGCCGCACTGCCTCGCGCGGCAAACTACCAAAAAACTACGTGGTTCACCCGAGGCAACGCATGCTCGTGCTCGGGCGAACGCGCGCGGGCCGAGCCAAAATCAACGCGCCTCAGAAGTTTGCCTATTAATTTATTAGGCGTCCAAATTGGATCGAACTTGGCTCGCCTGCGCACGAGCGTATGCCGCGCGAGGCAACGAGCACCCGAGCAGCCTCGGGCAGTGTGGACTCGCTTAATGGCTGTTGCACAAGAAACAACGTCGAGGTTTTCATACAAAGAACAATCGAGCCGTTCCTTATTCTTGACTCGTTTGTATAAAACTCTGCAGCGACCTTGAAGGTTATGTGTATTTTTAAGGATTATGGCGGTCATGGTGTAGTGATCTAGAGCTACCGGGGTTGTAGATTGTATCTTACACTTGAAAATAGTAAGTATCTTGTATAATCAGCTATGTTGTGTGTTTTACAGAAGTGGAACAGACCCGCACTCCGAACCCGAATCAGCAACAACAACCACAACAACAACAGAGCATGCAGAGCGGACACTCCGTAATTGTGTCACAGAGCAATAACTACGCGCCGCCGCGACCTAGTCCGTGAGTAGTCCATTATCAAACACACACATATCACATCTATATCCTTTACAACCTAGGCAGTGCGTAAACGGCTACAAAATAAACACTATTAACACCACGTCTGACAACATTTTAAGAGTTATATATAAAGACCGTGTACGACTATAGTGACGGATTGTCAGCCTCTCGCCTAAAATTGCAATACACATAATCTCTCAAAATTCTTCGCCTCCTACGGCACCCATGGGAAAGATACGGGTTGATGCTACTCTAAGCCGGCGCCAACCGGCAACGAACAGCCATTATCACTTTCGTTAAATATGTCTGTCGCCTGTCCGTACCTGAATACGATTACCAAAGATTTACATCTAAAAAGGCGAAAATTACTTCGTAAAATGAAATAGGCGTCAGCTTTGTGGTCAAGAATTTTTACTTTTTGGAAAATTTTCTATTCGGTTACACGTTTGGAATTGATTTACCAGTATAAATGAACAGCTCAACTTGCTGCTGATAGTTTATACTCGATAACAGCTAGCTTGTGTATCTCTATAAATCATATTGCATATACCTAGTTTCTTCGTACGTATTAATGAGTGTTGGTAATTGTAGGCAATGGGAGACGGCCGTGGAAGAGGCCCGCCCGTTCCCGCTGGCGCCGACGCCCGCGCAGCTCGGCCGCGCGCCCTTGCAGAAGAGACTTAGCCGAGGTAATTATACCCTACCAGTTTCATCATTATAAATTGAAAATGAGAAAATTTAGAAATTTATTAGCGACCGCCGGGACTTGAACCCGTGACCGTGGGGTAACGTCCCACCGCTCTGCCAACTGAGCTACAGGCGGCACCGGACCCTGATGAATCTTTCAACCTCTTGGTGCTCGTCTCGAAGTGACGATTATTTAGTTTCATCATTGTAAATCTTACTTATAATCTTTCGTTTTGTGTATAATATGGTAATGACCTGAAAAAAGGATAAATTTAACTCAAAATTCGCATCCACAGCAGCTGATTTACTCGTCGTCAAATACAGGTGCCAAGCTCGTGTGTAAAAGAAATAGAGATTTGGCGCGACCACACCAAGCGAGGCTGCTCGCTGCCTTACTGCCTCGCGTGGCAAACGAACGAAAAATTACGTGCCTCACCCGAGGCAACGCATGCTCGTGCTCAGGCGAACGAGCGTGGGACGTGCCAAAATCAACGCGCCTCAGACGTTTGCCTATAGTTTAGGCTTCCAAATTGGGCCGAACTTGGCTCGCCTGCGCACGAGCGTATGCCGCGCTGGTAGTGAGGCAGCGAGCAGTCTGGATTGGTGTGGACGCACCTATTTGCGTATTTGTCGAAGAGAAATTGAAAATAGAAACGTGATAACAAAATGTGTGCAACGCAGGAACATCGACGGGCTCGAATGGAGAACGCAGCGAGTGCCAGCGCGCGGAGGGCTGCAACCAGCAGATGATGGAGCCCCAGGAGTCGCCCAAGGAGAACCTGCCGAGCCCCTCGCAGAAGAAGAGTCTCCTATTCAAGAAGGGCAACGAGGACGGCCGCGACAGGTAACACTTTAGAATTCGGTATACTTTTTCCAAAATTTTTGGTCGAGTATGATTTGAAGAAAATAAAGACCGGGCGGCCTGCCGTGACCTCCATACTATGAACGACGCTGTCACGGCGCACTACAACGCCTCTACGCTTGGTCTTTATTTTGACCTTAACGTAGATATCGTCATAAAATCGGTTCTTGCATAGAAATTGTGCTGACATACAGACAGGCGTGTTAAAAGTTTGCTTTCCCTTAGAATTCCGCGCTTTACCCTATAATGCAGCTAGACGCTTATCCTGATGTCACCATAACTCCATTCGTGACTGTATAGAAGCATACTTTTACTAATGCTGCAAGTGCTATTTATTATCTTTTCTCACAAATAATGTCACGACTTTTTAAAATATGTATGCAAAATTTTGTACAACAGAGTGTTGGAGACGGTGGGCTTCGAGAAGAAGTTCGTGAAGTTGCCCCAGTTCAAGCCGGACGCGTGCAGCCCTAGCGGCATGGTGGTGCCGCGCAGCCCGGGGGGGATGTACATACGCAAGAAACATAGCACCAGGATAGGTAACAAATACACTAAACTTACAAATAATGCAAATACGTTTTTTTTTTTTAATTTGAAGATGATTTTAAAGAAAAAAGATAATTTTAGAATAAAGGAAATAGATAATCGATAGGTATCTTCATTTCAGTCATTCACCATTAGCATTAAAGTCCATTCAAAGTTATAGTGTCATGATCAGCCTAAGCGGCAGGCCAACTTACGCTAGTTGCGTAGTATCTAAGCATTGTGACCAGCGTAACTTGGCCTCCTGATTAGGCTGGTCTTGTCATTTCATGACACTATGTTTGCGAATGGACTATACATTACGTCTGTCGTTTATTTATATTTAGTTTGACATGTGATTTGTGTGTTACAGAAGACGAAGGCGGCACGGTGGTGACGCCAGCCTTGGAGGTGGAGATGAACGGCGCGCCCCCCACCCCGCACTCGTTCGGCACCCCGCACACCACCGCCAAGCTGGTGGGCAACACCTTCTTCGGGCCGGACTTCAACCTCGACAGCTTCCGCGGTGAGTCACTAGTCGCTAGTAGACAGGAGATGAACGGCGCGCCCCCCACCCCGCACTCGTTCGGCACCCCGCACACCACCGCCAAGCTGGTGGGCAACACCTTCTTCGGGCCAGACTTCAACCTCGACAGCTTCCGCGGTGAGTCACTGGATAATACAAAGTTAAAATCTAAAATACCACTGGATATAATAGTCTTTTGTCCAAGTAGTCTTTGCTTTATAAATTCTTGTATTTACAAGAATACAAAATTTAATATTAAAATTAAATTTTGTATTAGCTGTTCGCCTGTTGCAATTTCAATTTTCTAAATATAACAAACTACAAACAATTTAAATGTGTGCTTCCGCGCGTAAAGGATCCAAGTGTCAACGTTTTTATAAAGTTGAGTGTTTTTAAGTTACAACAGAGGTCTGTAAAACAGAAAGCTTCAGAAAATATATTGGTTTTAATGTCAGTATGATAGAGGGACTTTTGTACATTCCGAAACTGATTTTATCTCCATACCCCACTGATGGACTATTTTTGCGCGGAAGCCCACTAATATCGGTACAAATACATAGATTCAAAACGCAGAGATGAGGACTCCTTTTCCTGTACATTTGGCTTTCCGTTACAGTGTCCGAAAACATGGAGGAGATGTCGCCCCGCACGCCGCAGTCGGGGTCGGTGAGCGCGGGCGGCGCGGGAGGTGGGGGCAGCGGCGCGGGCGGCGCGCGGGGGGAGGCCGGGCACAGGCGCGTGCTCGAGCAGCGCCGCCACCTCGTGCTGCGGCTGTTCCAGGAGCACGGCATGTTCCCCACCACGCAGGCCACCACGCATTTCCAGGTGAACCTTACGATCTTATACGGGACCATAGGTTGTCTGAAGACGAACTTGCCGCTACTTGACTGGCAGGTCAAATGAGCTACTTTTTATGACGACGATTATTTTAAAACGAGAATTACGTCATTATCTTCCTGTCATGGTCCCAATCAGTTGGGGTCGGCGAAACATGTTTGTTTGAACACAAAATCATGTAGAAAAAGGATTTGGCAATGTTTTATGACCGGCCGCCTGCCCGACGTCAACTCCCCCCTTTGGGAATGCTATCGTAGGTGACCATAACCGACAAATGTTCAGCCGAGGTCAAAAACTCTACGTACCTGTTACGAAACACCCTGAGTGGACTAGGGGTGGCAGTATTCTTAGCTGCTTTTCAAGTGTAGGGGTGGCAGTATTCTTAACCCCTTTTTTCGATTGTAACTATTAACAGCTTTTCATTATTTTCCTACAACGCATTTTTAAATACAGGCGTCTCACATGGACATCTTCCCGACCAAGATGTCGCTGCAGCTGAAGATCCGCGAGGTGCGGCAGAAACTGATGGCGCAGACCAACCTCACGCCGCACTCGGAAGTCAACACTCCAACCAGTAAGTTACATTGAGAAAACAAAATGTTTAGAATATATTCATTGATATGTAGCCGTTTCAGCCAGATGCAATCTCTATAAATTCCACTCTTCACTGAGATATCAAATATGGTGTCATAGGGTAGGTAGATTAATAGCGTGCTGCACATGACAAATCGTCTCGGACAGTCCGGGCAAAGGATGTTAGATTCAATCATCGTATAGCACAATATTGTCACTTCGTTGTGCGTCCAGACATCACAACAACTTACATACGTTTTCTGACATTCTATGAGTTTGTAATTAGCAACTTAATGATTTGCAGACCTAAACTCGCCCATTGTATCGGCAGCTCTGCAGCCGACGTCGACGACCAGTTAGCGGTGCAGGTACACCATCTCCATCGTGGTGCACGATTGATGTCCGCCTCGTGACGCCGCCGCCGCGTCAGCCAGCGCGCCGCCGCAGCAGCCGCCGCTCCCGCCGCCGCCGCCGCCGCCCCCGCGCCGCCGCCGTCGCTCCAACGCGTCACGACCCAACACAAAACAATAAGTACAATACAGTGTTAACCACGCGCCGGCGAACACTCGCCACGAACTCAAGTGCGCCGAGCAGTGTCAATTACAACATTGGTCCCCACTGCGATGGAGCCACACGCGTTTTTCACGCGACACAAACCATTATTTTAAAGAGATTTTCTGGTGATCAGATAAAAATGCTAGATGCATTTATACTTATTTATTTGACGTTACGTTGTATGTTAAAATAACCAAAAATAAGTGTAAGGTACAAAAGTAATAAAATTAATGCTCCTGTCGGTTTCAAAATTGACCTTATTACGAGAGGTAATTATTTTAGTGTAAAGGTTGTGGAATACCGAGAATTTGTTGCATATATCTGCCTCTTTTGGCATCATTAATTTTGTTATTCGTGTACACAAGATAAGAAACCTAAAAACATAAAACAACAAAAAAACAATTCGGTAAGTATGGAGAAGGGTGTTTAGTTCACATTATAGTAATTTTATTTCATGTTAAAAGAAAATTTATAAATATAAAAAATCCATAACAAATATAGTGGTCAATGTGAACTCTCTGGATGCGATAAATGTGGTTGCCAAAATACTTATAATTTATGAATAAGTAATTACAGTGAAACCTGGCCTGGACTTGGGATATAAGTATGTTAGTTATCTCTAGAACCGGTGCGATTTAATGAAGTAGCGGGTACATATTAGTAGATCGATACCACATTTTTATAACCTGTGATTGAATTGTTCTGATTCATATTATGTATGATGTGATGGATGACTATGTATTTGACTTATTTTTAACTTATATTTTACCCTTATTACATGAATTTTTTACTCTGAGAGAACCTATTTTAAATTCAGTGCAATTATTTTAGGATGAGTTCTGCTCGTGAAAGTGAACAACTTATACCAAGAAACAAGAAAAATTACGAAAAGTATTCTTGGAGCTCCCATAGGAAATTACTCACTTTTTCAGCATTTTTGTACGGGTGTTCAAAAACTTTTATGATTCCCCCATATTCCTCGAGGAAAGTTGTTTAGTGTCACGAGTAGAACACACCGTTAGATTATTTGCACTGTACTTAAAATTACCTTGTATCACTTGTACAGGTTTCACTGTAGTTTGATAAATAACTCTCATTAATTTTGTAGATCATTGGTTAGTGGATGGAACTTACAAAATGGTGCGAGTGTTTGTTGTTTAAAAAGTGCATACAACGTTCATATGCGTTTGGAGCGACTATTGAAACAATAAAAAAAATACTAGCCGATGCTCACTGTTGAGTTCTCATTGTCGATGTACCA